GAGGGCAGGAAGATCTGAACAGCAGGCCTTGCTGGGTTCCTTTCAGCCTACTAGCATTTGCTCATGTTCTTCGTCCAACCAGTTTTACACTGCTGCCTGTTCTTCATTAAACCTAGGCATTAAAATGGACAGCTTTCCTTGTATCTTTGGATCTTTGTTCTGAAGACTCATGTCACATAAAACTTTGATTAAATAAATCAGTTATGCTTTTCTTGTGTTAACCTGTCTTTTGTTACAGGGGTGTCTGCCATTGACACTCTTATGATGGGGAGGAGCGGGATAAAACTCTTTTGCCCCTAAAATATAAAGCAAGCAAGAAGGAAGCAACATTCTCCTCTGCCCTAGTAAAGGTCTCTCAGTGTGAGGTCACACTGAGTTTAGAGAGGAGAGGTTTCACCAGTTTTGATATTACAATGAATTAGACTTTTGAAACACACCCTCATCTCCCAAATATAATATGGCTTGTTTACTACCTGGTAGCAACATTACAGACTGTTAGAATGGTATGTGGTTTTATATAATGGGAAGGAAAGAAGTTGAGTTAGGGGTTAAAAAAACAGCTCTAAGAAACTTGCTTCTACTTGGACAGAGAAAAGTACCACTTATCCAGTGAACTGGTTACAGAGTAACACCAATATAGGAATGACACATCCTGGGAAGTATTAGGAATGCTTCTTCTTCAATTACTGTCTAGATAAATCCTGCCCCACAATGAGATACCACTTAACACCTATTAGGATGGCTACTATTAAAAAAAAAAAAAAAAAAAGAATATAGCAAGTGTTAGCAAAGATGGTACAAAATTGAAATTATTGTGAACTGCTAATGGGAACATAAAATGGTGCAGCAACTATGGAGGTTCCTCAAAGAATTAAACATGCAATTACCACATGATCCAGCAATTCCACTTCTGGGTATATACCCAAAAGAATGGGGTACTCAGATACTTGTACATCCATGCTCATGGCAGCCTGACTCACAGTAGCCAAAAGGTAGGAACAACCCAAATGCCCACTGACAGAGGAATGGAGAAACAACATGTGGTATATTCACACAATGGAATATTATTTGGCCATAAAAAGGAAAGACATCTTGACACATACCATAACCTGGATGAAGCTTGAAGACAGTATGCTAAGTGAAATAAGCCAGTCACAAAAGATAAATGCTGTATGATTTCATTTACCAGAGTACCCATACCCACAGCAGTCAAATTCATAGAAACAGAACGTAGAATGTTGGTTGCCAGGGGCTGAGGGAGGAGGGTGGAGAGTTAAATGTTTCATGAGTACAGAGTTTCAGTTTTGGAAGATGAAAAAGTTCTGGAGACAGATACTGGTGATAGTTGCACAACAATATGAATGTACCTAATGCCACTGACATACCTAAAATTATTAAAATGGTAAATTTTATGCTATCAATATTTTACCACAGTTTAAAAAAACCTGCTAAGGGTACAAAATAGTGTTGGAGAAAGAAAAAACTTACAAAAAACAAGGGAATTTAATCTCAGATAAGCAAAGAACTGAATTTCTTTTTTTTTTAAACCTGTTTTTATAGATCAGTAGATGGTTGGTTCACTTTCAAAAACTTGCCTTGAGGTGATAACCACCAAAGAATGACAGTCAAGAATAGAGGGGAAAAAAACAACAAACACTCATATTGAAAACACAAAAAGACAAATGGTCAAGGCAGGAGCCCAGTTTGTTGCAGACAGATTTTTGTAATCCTCATGGTGCCCGCTGTAAAAACAATTCAGCTGGCATAACTGGTTATCTGTATTTTTTTTTTTTTTTTTGAGACAGAGTTTTGCTCTTGCTGCCCAGGCTGGAGTGCAATGGCACCATCTCCACTCACCACAACCTCCGCCTCCCAAGTTCAAGTGATTCTCCTGCCACAGCCTCCCCAGTAGCTGGATTATAGGCATGTGCCACCACGTCTAACTTTTTTGTTTTACTAGAGCTGGGGGTTTCTCCATGTTGGTCAGACTGGTCTCAAACTCCTGACCTCAGGTGATCTGCCCACCTCCCAAAGTACTGGGATTACAGGCATGAGCCACTATGCCCAGCCTGGTTATCTATATTTTATTATTTATGTATTTATTTATTTTTGAGATGGAGTCTTGCTCTGTTGCCCAGGCTGGAGTGCAATGGCCGAGCCTCTTGTGCAGCTGGAATTATAGGCATGTGCCACCATACCTGGTTAACATTTTATATTTTCAGTAGAGACAGGGTTTCACCATGTTGGTCTCGAACTCCTGACCTCGGGTGATATACCTGCCTCAGCCTCCCAAAATACTGGGATTACAGGCTTTAGCCACCACACCTGGCCTGGTATCTGTATTTTAAAAGTAAAATGACTCACACCATGTACAAAAGTCAATCCCATGAGGATTAGGACTTAACTTTGAAAAGCATAATTTAAAAAGGTTTAAAAGATAATCTAGGTATCTTTGTGAGCTTAAGAGTAGAAGAGGATTATCTACACAAATGCAAAACACACAAACCATAAAGGAAAATACTGAAAATTCTGACATTAAATCTTACCTTAAAACTTCACTTGGATAACTTAAAACCATAAAAACACAAGCTACAAATGGAGAAGTTATTTGTCAACACATATGACAAAGGATTAGGATACAGAACATATGAAGAACTTTTATGAGTCAACTATTATGAGTATACAATAAAACCATAATGAGATACCATTTAAACCCACCAGTCAGGAAAAACCTAAGTAGTCTGGGAATGCCAAGGGTTCACCAGGATGTGAAAAAAAAATGTCAAGGACACAGGTTCTTTGGTTCAAATTCTGGCACTTCCATTTACTACCAGATGGGCAAGCAATTTAGCCTCCACAAACCTGTTTTCCCAAATACAAAATGAGAGATAACACTAGTACATACTTTATCGGGTTGCTGGGGCATTACGCAAATTCATACATACAAAGTGCTCAGAACAGTCAGTGCTGCGCATAGTGAGTACAGAATAAGGTTAGCTCATTGTTCCCATTATGACTATCATCTTCATTACTGGTGGGCACGTAAACTGGTACAGCCACACAGGAAAGCCCATCTGGCCTTGCCCAGCAGAACTGAGAAAGCACAGGCCCCACAGCATGGCTGTTCTACCAGCACATGCCCTGCAGAATCTCCTCTGTCAAGAGGAAACAGGAAGTAGCATGTTCATACAAGCATCACTGTGACAACAAAGTAAGGAAAATAACACAAATGTCTATTTAGAGGAGAATAAATAAATTGTGGTATATTAATATGATGTATGGAAGTACATAAACTGCAGCTACAGGCAGCAACATGGGCTAGACTCACAAACATCAGGCTGGCAGGGAGAAGGCAACTCCTGGAGGAATACAGAGAGGGTGGGGCCAATTACAAGTTCAAAAACAACAGCAGGTATTGCTCACAGTTTATCCCTAAAGAAAAGCAACGGAGTGATCAATTTAAAATTCATAACGGTGGTTTTCTTCAGGGACCCTGGAAAGGAGGGTTTAATCAAGGAGGAGTGATATCAATAGCATTGATAATTTTGTTTTGTCTTTTTGGAGACAGAGTTTCACTCTTGTTGCCCAGGTTGGAGTGCAATGGCACATTCTCAGCTCACTGCAACCTCCACCTGCCAGGTTCAAGTGATTCTCCTGCCTCAGTCTCCCGAGCAGCTAGGAATACAGGCATACACCACCACACCCAGCTAATTCTGTATTTTTAATAGAGATGAGTTTTCACCATGTTGGCCAGGGTAGTCTCAAACTCCTGACCTCGGTGATCTGCCCACCTCAGCCTCCCAAAGTGCTGGAATTACAGCCACCACACCACCACACCCGGTTACCACAGTTTTTTAAGACAAAATAATACAAATCTAAGTAATGTGAAATTAAATAGTGATATTCTTTCAAGGGTCTTAAAATATTTCACCTCATAATTTTTATTGATATAATTATGAAGTTATAAAATATAAGGAAAGACAAGAGTTAGAAAATGAAAAACATGAGAAAAAATATACACAGACAAGACACAAAACCAAAGTCAAAATATAAGGCTCATTACCAAGAGTTCAAGGTTGCTCAAAACCATAGAGATAATATATTAATTAAAACTAACTTAGAAATCAGTTCAGTCATCAAATATTTTCTGTGGGTTCTGAAATTTCATAAGAATCAGGTATGGAGTAAGTCCTTAATCTGTGATCGTCCTGGTTTCTCAAGGTTTTTAAAATCAGTTTCTTGTGTAAAATCAAGTTAAGATAATTTTCATTAAAAAAAAAAAAAATAAGCATTTCATGCTATGCATGGGGGGGGGTTAGATTTTTATTATCCTGTGATAGCCACATGTTCCACGATTTTTTTTTTTTCCTACAACCCTAAACCTCAAATATGAGGCAAGGTAAACAATTGTGGCAGATTCTCTTTTCATAACTTTCTACTTTAAAATGGAAGTCACAGATTATAAAAGTCATTCTATAATCTCCAGGTTTCAAGGCATCTCCTCAAGCCAAGACATTTTATATTGAGGTGAAAAGAAGGGTTAATAAATTAAGATAACTAAATTTTTAAAGGATATAAGTGAGCTGTGGAAAGTCAACCTGAACAATACATGTTCTGCTAGCCTAACACTACGTAATTTCAACCGCACAGAAAAGGTAACAAAGTAAGTTGTATTTTTCAACTAAAAACCCACAGAAGAGGAAAAAGAAAAAAACCCAATAGCTAATCTTCTAATATTTTTAGAAAAGCATGCAGAATTCCTTGTTTACCACAAAGTACAATACACAAACCTTCTTAGGTTGTCTGAAAAAAGAAAACATTAATTGCTCAGCTTAACACTTAAGATCCTCTAAAATAAATGAAAAAGTTTTTGACTATAAAAAGTATAAGGTGAATAAAATACAGCTTTTCCCGCCTATAGCTATAAGTATTAGCCACACAGGTGCTGACAAGGATTCTGGACTCAAGGAGGCCTTCTAAGGAAATCCTACAACACTCACTTGGACAGTCCTCTGAGTGCCATCAACGCTGACAGACAATAGGGGCGAAGCCAGGTTCCACGTGCTGGTCACATTCAGTTTCGACCCATCAACTTCCACCTGTTGTGACACCAAATAAGACCGTTACCATGAAGAAAGACAGAAAACTGATCTCAAGTTCATTGCTGCATACAAAGCAGCAGCCATTTTAAACAGATGGCTCCCAAACAACCTGTCATGTTTACTGCTCCAGCCATGAAAGACAGGGTCCAACAACAGCGTCTTCCCAGCCATCTCTGGGGAGAGGTGAAGGACCTGTGAACAGCTGCCTCTGGGTACTGAGGCTTCAAGTGATTTCCGTAAGTAACAAACAGCCTTCTAACTCGAAACCTATCTGGACATGCTACATTTACTGCAATTAGACAAGTAATGCATATAAATTCCAGTGACATTTTGCAACCCACACAACAGGGCTTGCATATAATATCCTCTCCAAGGACCAAGGAAGAACTTTTTCTGTGTTCATTTTAATGCAGGACTATGCACTGTTATCTTAATTAAACAGAAGCTTTAATTAGACAAAATTCTTTGGTGTTGAATATCAAAAGTCCATTCAAACTTTGCAAAGTTCTGTCATATTTCTGTCAATCACAAATGACTAATTTCATCAATTCATCCTTCATGAATATGCAAAGAAAGACCCATAATCTTTCAAAACAGGGATAGTCATAAAAGAAAAAATAATAATTTCCAAATAAATATAAAAGTAATGGAAATGTAAAAATCATAGCTAATTTAAAATGAAAGTGCCATTGTTTTTCTTCCTTTCACTCACTGATGCTTATTCCCTAACTATTTAATGTGAGAGGCTTACAGATGACAGTATGATTACACAGTAGACAACCTAACAAGGGGATACTTAAGCTTGCTCAAGTTTCCAAATAAACCTGCAGCAGAACCATGATATATGATCCCTAACAATTCCCCCACTATCACTTATTTCCCTTAAAAGACACTCACTCATTAAAATCAGGTATCAGAGACCTCACTCATTCCTCTTCTGCTGGACCCTTGGGGACAGGTTGGCAATGGACAAAGATTGCTGAAAACATTCTGACAACTATCAAGTGCCCTAAAAATATCCAGGCGAGAGGTCTGCTTCTGGGATACAGTGTAGGGGAGGCTGCAGGCTTCCAGTGAAGCCCAGGGCTCAGTCTCATGGCATTCTGAATATGGCGTGGCAGCAACAGCACTGCATGGCTGGAGGGAGGGGCTGGACAAATAGCCACAGTATTTCATGGTAGGAATCCAGACGTTCTCACCAGTGAAGGTCTGGATTAGGATGAAGACCACACAGTATGGGGAGCTCCATGAGGACTGCAGGCAAATATAGTTGTCACTTGGAATCCATGGGAGACGGGTTCCAGGAGCACCACCCCTGCCCCGCCCCACCCCACAGATGCCAAAATCCGTGGATGCTCAAGTCTCTGATATAAAATGGTGTAGTATTTGCATCTAAGAATGTGTGCACATTCTTCCACATACTTTGAATCAGCTCGAGATTATCTATAATGCCTTTGTATTTATAATACCTAATACAATGTAAATGCTTCTAAATAGTTGTTATGCTCTATTGTTTAGGGAATAAAGACGGGGAAAAAAAGACTGTACCTATTCAGTACAGATGCAAATTTTTTTCTCCCCCCCTCCAATATCTGCAGTTGGTTGGATCCACAGATGTGGAGCCCATGGATACAAAGGGCCGACGGTAGTAGGACTAAGGACAGACAGCAGAAGCTTCCTCAAGGCCTTCAAAGCCCAAACAGCGAGACTCGTTACTCAGTGGCTACCAACACAGGCCCTTGCAGCAAAGCCTTACGAAGAGTGTGTAAGTCTGCCTTCTCCCTGTGCTGGCGCCTCAAGGCAGATCTGACCATCATTCCCAAAGGCCCCTTTCACTGTTCCCAGACCTCACCTCCACCGAAACTGGGGATAGAAGAAGGCTGAAATGCTACATTACCCCAAAGAGACTGTTTAAACAGAGGCCAAGATCCTGTTTACTCACAAATGTTTCTTCCCACCATCTGCTACTAAAGGTAGAGGGTCTCTGATGAAGATTATAGGTGATAGAAAATATGCTACATTTCATCATATACACAATGACTCATGAGTACAAATTCGCAACTTCACTACATAACTGAAGCAAGGAAGCTATCATGACTCCAAATCATAAACTGAAACCTATGTGTCAATACTAAGTGAGGAAAGGGAACGTGTGGAAAGCCAACACAGGCCTGCTCAGGCTTCCAGCAGTACACAGATACATAGTTCTGAATAAGAGATATAGTGATTCTGGCTGGGTGAGGTGGCTCATGCCTGTAATCCCAGCACTTTGGGAGGCCGAGGCGGGTGGATCACCTGAGGTCAGGAGTTTGAGGCCATCCTGGCCAAAATGGTGAAACGCTGTTTCTACTAAAAACATAAAAATTAGCCAGGTGTGCTGACGGGCATCTGTAATCCCAGCTACTTGGGAGGCTGAGGCAGAGAATTGCTAGAACTCAGGAGGCAGAGGTTGCAGTGAGCCAAGATCGCGCCAGTGCACTCCAGCCTGGGCAACAGTGAGACTGTCTAAAAAAAACAAACCAAAACAACCCCAAAAGAGATACAGTGATTCCACTGATGCTAGCATCCAAAGAGGGAATCTAGATGGAAGTACAGGCCATAGGAGAATAGAGAATGTCTCTTTGAACCATAGGTTAATACCAGAGAGAGGCGGGGCTGGTGGAACCAAAGAATCCTTGTTACTATGATCCACTGTGTACCCGCAACTCCTCAGCCATGGGTGACCGAAGGGGCAGATGTAGAGTGGAGGTAGCATTTCGTGATAGATTCTGAGATGAAGAACCTGCCTATACTTTCAAACTAAAGAACAGATTTGGTGAGAAATGACAAAGTAACATGTCCTAAAAAAGGCTGCAGCCTGCTTCACCCACCCTCCTGCCCTATTTAAACATAAACACCACTCAGAAAACTACCAATACTGGATCTTTGCATGCAATTTGGAAAAAAAAAAAAAAAACTCGGAAAGAGAAAAAGGTACATTAAGAGCATATAACACAAGAACTACTCAAAGAAACACAGGAAAAGTTCAGATAAATAGTTCTCCAAAATCTCAAAGGCAACCATAGGAAATGTGACCTTTCTTCAAAAAAAAGAACTCAAAGAAGAAAAACAAAGGTTCAAAGAAGAGATTATACAACAACAGAAGGAAATGAAAGTCAAGCTGATAGAACTCAGAAAAAAAATGGAGAGAAAAATAACATTATTGAGATAAAAGTCACATTAAGAAACAACCAAAAATAGAATAAATATGACTAAAAAGAAAGATAAGGACTGGAGAAATCATCTAAAATGAAATAGAGTGCACCAACAATATAAAACCGATTTACTGAGAAGACAACAGACATGGATGAGGAAGAGGGGGTAGAGAGAATCTGTAACTGTCCAAAGAGGCTCATGAAGCAAAAATAATACATGTACATTCAAAGATATAGAATACGATAAAACTTGTCAAAATAAATAGAACCTGGAATTTGTGGATTGGTGATGTAGAATCATGGCCAGGCATTGTGGCTCACGCCTGTAAGCCAGCACTTTGGGAGGCCCAGGCAGGAGGATTGCTTGAAGCCAAGTTTGAAACCAGCCTGGGCAACAAAGTGAGACCCCATCTCTAACACAAAAATTTTTTTTAATTAGCAAGGCATGATGGCCACTGCCTATAGGCCCAGCTACTCAGGAGTCTAAGGCAGGGGGAGATTGCTTGAGCTCAGACGTTCCAGGCTGCCGTGAGCCATGATCTTGACACTGCACTCCAGGCTGGACAACAGCAAAAC